TTTCCCATGTAAACTATCACATAATTCACAATAAAACATTTAAAAAAAAAGTGCTGAGAGGAAAATTCATAGCAACAAACTCACTTCTCAGAATACTCATTCTCCGCAATGCTGTCCATAGTTTATGATGATGCACACAATCGCAAGCCTTGCATAGTCAGTAAAGCACAGATAAACATCTTTCTGGTATTCTCTGCTGTCAAGGGGCTTTATCAATAGTTTTTTGTCTTTCACTGTCAAAGTATGTTGTATCTTCTTTCTTCTCAAGCACTTGCTTTTCTCTCCCCTTTTCCAAACATATTTCCCCTTGCATTTCATTTTCTTCTTTATTTCCACGTTGTATTGCAACTACTATAGGTCATTTTGATAGCTCCCTATACCATATTCTCTTCAGAGTCTCCACACTTCCACCTCTATGATTTTCTCATCCCCCCAGCATGAACGAGGTTTTGGGTTTCATTTTCAAGTTCCATACACATAGTTAGACTATCAGAAACAGTATCTTCAATGATGAAACAATGAAACTCAGATAGCGTAATGGTTGTGAGTTGTTCATAATAAACATATATTTTACTATGATTGTTTCTTTCTTCATACATGTGTTTACAATGATGTTTTATGCTTCTGATTCATTTTTCTTTTTCTCATTATTTTATTCATATAAAAAATGCAAGACCCAGCTTATAGTCATCAGTTATTGGATTGTCTGCTCTTCATTCTACTTATTGACAGTAATTTGGAAGGGACAGTAAATAGTATATATCTCCCTGATTTATTAGTCCATTCAATTGCGGTGACCTGGGGTTATTTATAGGAACAAACTTAAGGGCCTTAGTACATGGCCTAAGTACAGTATTAGACACACCTGAAAACAGAATACAAACTACATGACTGGAGCCTCCTAAAAATTAGGCACTTATGTGCATCAAAACATTTCACCAAAGACTAAAGATAGAATATACAGATTGTGAGGACATTTTTGGCAATGACAAATCAGACAAGGAACTAATGGCTAAAATTGATAGAAAAATTCAGCACCTCAACAAGAAAGTGACAAGTAATCCAATTAAAAAATAGGCAAAGTACATTTCAGACACTTCACCAAAGAAGACACTCAGGTGGCCAACAAATAAGAAGAAATGCTTGCATTCATTCGTCATTTTGTTGTTGTTGTTAAGTGCAATTGAGTCAGTTGTGATCCACAGCGACCCTGTATAGGGTTTCTGAGGAGCATGAACTGCCAACCTTGTGGTTCAAACCAGCTTTAAGATATAAATCAAAACAACAATGAGATATCATTTCACCCCAGCATTAATAGCAAAATTCAGAGCAACAGAAAACAATAAATGTTGGTGAGGATTTGGAGACACTAGAACACTGCTTCTGGAAGTGTAAAATGGTGCAACCACTGTGGAAAATGGTATGGCACTTCATCAAACAGCTAGAAATAGAAATGTCATATCACAAAGTAACCCCACGACTTAGCATATATCCTAAAGCCAGGAGTTGAATAGATAAATGCACACCATGTTAATTGTAGCATTAGTCGCAATAGCAAAAAGATGGAAACAGTCTAAATGCCCATCAGTGGAAGGGTGGATAAATAAATGATGGCAAATACATACAATGGAATTCTATGCAATGCTAAATAATAATAATGAATCTGAGAAACACCTCATAACATGAATGAACATTATGCTGAGTGAAATAAATCAGTCACAAAAGGGCAAATGCTGAATGAGACCATTATTAGGAAAAGTGAAGGGTTTCACACAAAAAAGAAATATTATTTGATGGTTGGCAGTGTGGTAGGGGAAGGGAGGGTAAATCACTAATTAGAAGGTTAATATATTACATTGAATGAAGGGTAAAGAAATATACAACAAGAGTGAGATCAACAAAAAATGATGGAAGCATGGGAAGACATTGGGAGGAGTACAAGGGGTAAAGGCAACAGAGGTAAATATTGTTATATATACAATCCTACAATTGTAGTGGTCTATGAATGGATGCATGGATAGACACAAAAGCTGGAAGTCTGTGAGAGGGAGAGTAGGAATATACCCACAAATATACATGGATTCTTGGTGTGACTCTCAGGACAAGCATGGAACTGCTAACTGCAAAGTCGGCAGTTCAAACCCACCCCTTGCTCCTTGGAAACTATACAGGGCTGATATAAGTTGGAATGGACTCAACAGCACTTGACAATAACCACAATGAGTGCATGCATAAACAGATACTAAGCCTGAACAGGTGTGGAAGGGAGAGTGAGACTATACTCAAATCTATGTTGGTCTGACAGAGGATATGTCTACATGTTTACTTGTCTATGCTGCAAATATATCCATAAATGTAATGAATCATTAAAGGAGAAAAGTTATATATAAAACTGTTTGGACATAACCAAACATCTTGAGGAAATAAGTCTCTTGGCCTGGATGTCAATTGGCATACTGATATGCTACTTTAGTGAACAGTGATTGTGGTCTTCAAAGTTCATGAGTAGTTATTCAAGGTGCAATTATTGGTCTTTTCCACTCTTTATCATAGAAGAGTGATGAAAATTGAAGACTTATGAAAACAATTCATTGAAGATGTATGGACTAATGGACCAGTTGAACATCAGACTCCACAACCCTGAGACCAGAACTACCAACTACTCTGAAAGGGATCACATTAGAAGGTCCTGGATAGGTTAGGAGAAACATGTAAAACAAAACAAAACCAAGAACAGGCTTACTGGCCTAACAAGACTGGTGGAATTCCCAAAACTATGGCCATTAGTCATCCTGCAGGTCTGAAACTGAAATCACCTCCAAGACTCACATTTTCAGTTAAACAATAGATAGATTTATAGGGGAACTATAGCTCTAGGGAGATACTCCGATTTATTTGTTATCAAATGCAGCTATTTGATAATAAATCATTTTCAATCAAAAGAGTAGCATTTACATATGGACAAAGTTCAGAGGGGTTAGGAAAGGAAGAGGAATAGAAATGGGAAGCACAGGGCAGAAGTGAGATAACGGATGTATTGTGGGGATTATAGTCAATGACATGAAATGAAATATGTAATGAATTGTTAAGTAGAAAATGGATTTTCCCTGTAAACCTTCATCCGATTCACAATAAAATGTTTTGCTTTCTTTTTAAATCTCAATATATAAATGGGCAAAACATACAGAAGATGAAACATGAGTCACCAATAACATGTAAACTTGCTCAAATAAGCATTTATGGAAATATAAATTAAAACTATAGTGAAACACCATTTCACATGCATCTGATTGGCAGCAACATTAGGTTGGGGAGACTATAGAATCAATGAAAACTTTTGGACTGCTAAAGGTGTGTTAATTGCTATAAGTATTTTGGAAAATAATCTTACATTATAAAGTACATGTGAAAATATGCATACTTTTTCACCCAGAAATTTTTCTGAGCAAAATTCCTAAGAGAAACATTTGTTCATATGTCCCAGGAGGCAACATAAGCAGAATGTTTGCAGCAGAATTATATGAAACAAAAACAAAAGTGATGAACAAGCTATCAATAGTAGAATAGAGACATCAACAGCTTTGATCAAGGAGAAAACATAGGAGACATAAAAGACTCTGAGGCTCAGTGAAATCCATATGGGTATTTGCTTAATTACACTTTAAGCTGTACTCTTGTAGTTTATATTTTGCAATATAATGTATTTAATAAATGGATGATATATTTAATAGAGACTGTAAAAGTATTGTACAAAGTCCAAACTATGTATAAGTGTATACGAGAGGGCTTCCAAAATTCATAAAAAATGAAATAAAAGATAATGGAGTTTTTCCACTAACTTTTTAAAGTCTCCTCCTACATAAGAAAGTACAAATTACCTAGAATCCTACCATCTACAGACAATCACTCTTAATATTTTGGTACATACATTTCCAGACTTCAAACTACATGTGGCTTTTTCCTTTATTACAGAATATAATATTCTTAAAGGGTGACAATAATAAAGTACATATTATACAGTATTATATCAGAAAAACATTACATTTGCCTGATATGACAAGTGCCTATCATATAATGCTTAAATTAAAATATATATATATATTATATATATTATATGGGTACAGGAAGACAAGTTTCTTTAGGATTCTTTTGATTGTTTTTCCTACATTTGCATTTTGTTATTTTAAAGTCAATAATGTAAATAAACAAAGGTGCTTTGAAGAAAAATACAAAGGGTTTGAAGTGCAGAGTGGAAATAGAGAAGAAATGCTACTACTTTAGATAGCATGAGCTTCCCTGATCATTCTCATCATTCTGTATTCACTTACCTTCTTGTATTGTTTTCAAACTACTCATCACTCCCTGAGATTATATTTGAGCACTATTTTTACTAACAAAATATCAACTACAGGATGACAGGAAACTTGTTCTACCCACTTTTGTATCTTCAGTGCCTAGTTCACTGGCTAGTACATATATGAAATACTCAGTACTATTTGCTGAAAGAATGAACAAAGGAACCAAATAAGATAGGTGCAATTACAGCTTTCTGTAATTGGGAGTCCTGGTATAGGTTAACCCTCTGATCTGCACGGTTGGTTTGAAATGTAAGGTTGCCAGTTCAAGCTCACCAAGTGAGTCTAGACTGACTTGACAGCACTTAACAACAACAACAACAATAATTAGGAATTTGGTGGCTCTGTAGGATAAGTACTGGACTGAGAGTCACAAGGTTGGTGGTTTGAGGCTACCAACTGCTTTGTGGAGAAAAAAATGAGGCTTTCTGCTCCTGTAAAGATTAAAAAATCCTCAGAAATCCCTATACAAGGTGCTATGAGGTGGAACCAACTCAGCTGCACTCAATAACAATAACAACCATGTAAGAACACGTATTGGGGGGGTGGATGAATCTTGAGGAGTAGTCATATATCATATTTATAATTCAAAAATATATTTCATTTATACCAAAAAACTATGTTCATATTTTAAGACAACTTTACCTCATTCATATCAGCTTCTGTTTTTACTTCTGAGTTTAGAACTTGAGTATCATGTAGGTGTGAACATTCTTCAAAATCACTTGCTAACGATGCATTCTGAATGAAAGGTAAATTGTCTTTGTATAGTCTAATGAGAAGAATAGAAAAGAAGCATTATCTTTTTAAATCATATGCCTCATTTCAGCAAGATGAGTAATAGCAGGAAGCAAACAATTACACAAATCTTAATTGAGGAAAGTGAGTTGAAAAATTAAGCATTTTTATGAGATGCAAAAAATTTAAAACATAAACTATTACAGAAATATTTTAATCCTGACTTTTAGGGAGAAAAAGAAACCACAAACTAAAAATCATAAAGAACTTTAAGACATGGGGGCAAAGAGGATTTTGGGAAAGAAGAAATATTTGATTGAATCAGAGAAAAAAAAAAAAGGAAAAAACAGCCAAAATAAAGGAAAAGAAACAATAACCAATTAAAACCAGTAATAATCATAAATAAAACAAAGGAATAAAACCAAAGCATATTCATTATTATTAACTGTGAACAGGTTCATTTTCTCTATTAGAAGACAGACATTGTCAGATTGGGTTAAAAAACAAAACAAAGCCATTATGTTATTTATAAGATACATATCTAAAAGAAGATCAAAAAGTTAAGATTAAAGTAAATGCATTAGAGGTTTCTAGCAACAAGATCATAGCAACAGAATAGCGAGCTGTTTTTCTTTTCAATCTATCCAAATTTCCTCCTAAAAACAACACAGAGAAACTAGAATAGCTGAAGGAAAACAAAAAACACGTATTACATCTTCAACCCTAAAATATAGATAAGTAGGACCCAAATTACCCAATGGCAACAAGCCCTCTGAGAGATGCAATATCATCAATAAATGCTAATCATTTATAGAAAGGACTCCAGTAAGTTAAGCAGACGTCAAGGCAAGTAAATCTGAGAATAATCAAGGATGGTACAGGTCCCTAATGGCTCAGTATTTCTGGTGATTATAAGGAACCATAAGTGATCTGTGGTGCCAATACTAAAAGTACAGTTCTCTGTGATGAACTGTTCAGGCAGCCCCATCCTGTCCCCCTCCCAGCACAGCACAAGGATTGCCCCAGTAGTCTGGCAGCCTCCTCATACCGATGCACCATCAGCTAGTTCATGGATCTCCTGTGTACTGGGAAAGATTGGGTTTCTGGCTTCAAAATTAAAACCACAGATATCCAGGACAGACTCTTCAGGGCACTAGCCCTCTCCTCATTATAAACAGAACATTTACAGTGCAGTGGAGGGAACTGTTGTTAGGTGCCATCGAGTTGGTACTGATGCATAGAGATCCTATGCACAACACAACAAAACACTGCCTGGTCCTGGACCAACCTCATAATCATTGCTATGCCTGAGCCCATCCCTGACACCACTGTGGCAATTCATCTCATTGATGCCTTCCTCTTTTTCTCTGACCCTCCACCTTACCAAACATGACATCCTTCTCCAGTGACTGGTCCCTTCTGATAATATGTCCAAAATATGACAGACGAGGTTTGGCCATCCTGGCTTCCAAGGAGCACTCTGGCTGTACTTCTTGTGCTTTTGGCAGTCCATGATGCTTTTAATATTCTCCTGTAACACCATAGTTCACATGTACCAATTCTTCTATTGTCTTCTTTATCCACTATCCAACTTTTTCATGCATATGAGGCTACTTAAAATAACATGTCTTGAGTCAGGTGCACCTTAGTGCTCAAACTAACATCTTTGCTCTTCCATGCTTTAAAAAGGTCTTGTGCAGCAGATTTGCCTAATGCTTGAGTGTTAATTAAAAAGTCAATGGTAGAACAAACAAGATGGCGGATCGGGTAGAAGTGTAGTAAAGAGCTCTGTCAGCAACAACACAGAATACTAGACCAAGCAGGCTAAGTGAATGGTGCCAGAACTCTGAACCACATATAAAGGAATATTTAGAAGGCTGGAAGGCTTACAGCTAGGGGAATTTGTAGCAGAAGCAAGAAATCCATTGTTTTCTAATTCAAGATGCTCAGTTGCTCCAGGAGCTGCCATCTTGGACAAGATCAAGTGGGGGAATGATCAGGGAAGTCATGGACACCTGACAGAACTATGGAGATAAAGGTGTGGACATTCTTTTTTCTGTACATGTTCATTGGTTTCTCACTGTCTGCACACCTTCATTCTGGTGACTAGAGGTGGTACCTGAGTGAGTGGACACTCCACCCCCACTCCTGGAGGGTTCTACTATGCATGTGCACATATCTCCTCAAAATTTAAAGTGACAGTTTCCACTTAAATACAAACAGCCACAGCTGGCCCTGAACTATTTATCACAAATAAAAGGCCTGAACAGGGATTTTGGAGTAGGACAGGAAGACTAAAATGGAAACGGGGCCGAAAATTAAATCCTATGTTATGTTACAATGACCAAAAGTGGTATCTTGAAATTTCTCAGGAAGAAAAGTGAAAAGGGAAGCCCATCTCCTGATCACATCTACCTGGAGGCAATCAGAAAGCATAAAAGATACCAAAATACA